ACCAAAAGAAGGAGATTTGGGGGGGGGGGGAGGGGAGGAAAAAGAAAGGATGTGCTCACCTCAACTGTTTCCATGGAGTGCTTCAGCACTTCACATGGAGTACCATGGCAGTACTTCATCTGTAGTGCTTTTATGCTTTTTGCATTTATAGCACTTGTTTGCCTGTGAAAGGGGTGTGTGAGTGTGTGGTTTTCATAGATTAAAGGAGGAAGGTTTATGATATTTCCACACTAGAAATATACTGGCTATTTCTTATTTATACTTTTAAGTCAAACAGTTTTTCACTTGGCTGGTTATTGACTTGGACATCAAGTGAGTGACAGCTTGGCAGTTGTTGTGATAAGCTCAGTAAAACATGCCAGGAGTACATGTATCGGATTGTGCCTTTTGGAAAAGGAGGTAATATTTTTAACACACCTAGTATACTTTCAATTACAAAGGTTATAAAATAGTATTTAAAAAAAAAAACAGAAAATGTCAGTTTGTGAAATGAAATGCTGAGTTAGACTTAAAATGAGGGGAAAAGTCTATATTTAGGAATTAGGAAAAAATTTTGATGAAACAAAAGTGTACCCTTCCCTATAGTGTTGGTCGTTCATCAGGAAGTTATTTGGCAGAGCCAGCAACTCATTTTTATTCTGTGACTTTTTTTTCTGGAGTGAAGAGTATAAATTGCACACTGCAAAATGGCATTTCCATCTGAGCTTAAATCGCTTTCGAGACTGTTATCTGGAAATGTCTGTAAACAAATACCCTTTTTCACCAGGATTTTTTCCCATAAAATATATATAATATTATTGTGGTTTTAAAGGCAAATATTTGAGAGAGAGAAAATGTAGGTCTGCAGAATGAACTAATTCTTGGCACATCCTTCAGCCTATGATTCCTTTATCTGTAATACTTTAATTACAGCTTGTCATGATGTTATGTTCCCCGCTCCGGGAGAGGGCAAAGAGGGAGGAGATTACAGAGAAAAATCCTTACAGGCAGGTCGCAGCAATTGGAGCCTGTTGGTGTACTCGGGTCCGTGACACCCACATATGGTTCATTGGTCTAATATAAGGGACTTGAGTGCCTGTGTCCCTACATGTAGTTTGTCTAGATGAGCAAACTGTCTGGGGGTTTTTTAAGTGTCAAGCTGAAATTATTTTACACTGATTTAAGATCTTCTCAGTTCAATGAAATGTGTTTTACTTTTGCTAGAGCCATTTTCCAAAAAAGGGAAGCACACGACAACATCTTTTACTGATTAGAACAATTGATAACTTCTAATTCACATCTACTTACCTATTCCCCCTGTCTTTTGTAACATCACTTATTGCTGCGATGTGCAGCAGGAGTGTATGTGAACGAGAAGGATTGCAAGCTCCAGTCCTGCAGGGGCCATAGTCTGTGAAAATGCCTGTCCTCAAAACACACCTCAGGAAGGAAAGGGTTCCTTGTTCTGTCTTCTACACAGGGGAAAACTGAAGGCCAAAAGGATCAAGCAATTTGCTATTTTAATATAAGAAATCAAAGAAACACATTTCTTAACACAAAAAAGCAGCTTCCTTTTTCAAATTTAAGTGTAAAGCTGATTACATTCAACTGGAAATAAGCTAGACTAAATATTATGCATCAAAAAACAAATGTACTTACTAAAAAGTACTTATGCAGAGTGCTTTCAGTATGTTTAGGGCTTCATCAAGATTTTACACACAAGAAGGATGTTTTCTGGGGGAGGTGAGGGCGGATAAAAGTATCAAATAGGAAGGGAAGAAGAGCAACTAAAATAATTAGCCGTGTGTCAACATAAAGTTGACAGAGATAATATATTTTATGGGATCAATTGGTAAAAAAAAACCCCAAACTTTCAAGCACCTAAACTGTTTTGAGTGTGAAGTGAGGAAGAAAAAATTTTCATTTAGGGGCTATCTGTACTTGCAACAACTATGTTGTAAAACTCAAAATAGCCTGTTTGCTACAGTTACAAATTATCATCCAATTATTGTTCCATGAAACTGGGATTTTCATCATCAAGCCTGAGTCTGCAAATGCTTAGGTACTTGAGTAGCCATGCCCTTATGGTTAGTCTCATTGGTGATGATGGAAGCAGTGGATAAAGGAAACCCTGAAACAGAAGCCTGTGCTATGTTTTACTTACTCTGAAACCACATCTTGCTCTAATTTTATCTGGTTCCCACCTATTAAGGCACATATTTGCATCTGCACATCTTTTTCTGTCAGAGTGAGCACCTAACCAAACAGCACAAAAGGTTGAGGCTGACGTACTTACTTAAGGGAAAATCCCTTTCTAGCACACTTCTCTGGGTGAAGCATGTGGACCAGGTTTAGACAGGAAGAGGTAGATTCTTCTTCTGGTTTAAGAGCTGATTTTATTCTTCAGCTAAAACCTCTTGGTTTTTACCGTTTCACCATGTGCACCAGAATGGGAAAAGGGTTTGCGATGGATATGGTAGCAAGCACTGCTGGCATAATAACAGCTTCAGGAATAAAGGCAAAAGTAAAGCTAGACCAAAATGTAAGCAAATAGGAGGGTCCCCAGAAGCCACCAAATTTTAACACAAGTAATCTCAGAGTAAATCTAGCTTCTACAGTTCTGCAACTGAATAGTACAATAAATAAAAAAGACCCAACCAACCAAAACACAACAAACCTCACAGCAGATACCTGATCGGCTAGGAAGAAAAAAAAAGATGATTTTACCATTTTGTCATCATCAAGGAAAGATTCACTTTTACTTGAATCAAGCATTTTAATGGTTCTTGGTTTCACTGCACTTACTGAACAGACAGAATTTTCAGAAGTGATGAGGGACTTTCATTATCTTGATTTGTGCATGCCTGTTTTGTAATACTGTAACAGAAGCCTTTCCCAAAATAAAGATCCAGCACTCTGAAAACGAGAACTTTTATCTTCTTGTGGTACTGATGCTTGTGAGGGGATTCAGTGTTGGCCACAGCTCCAAGGCTTTGCTTTTTCTCCCATTGCAAGCTTCTCAAAGATGACTAAAAGGCTTTTACACTCAGAAGGGTCAGGTCTTCCTAGAATACAAACTAAAATAATTGTCATTTTTAAATAGGGGGAAAAAAACCACCCCAACCTCAAAGCTGCTACTAATAGAAATTACAGAATATCATAGAAATAGAACAGAAATTAATAAAAGGCTTCTGAGCAGTTCAGCCCACTTTGCCCTTGCAGGTGGGGTTGTATGCTGCCACTTGTGAGTTAACTCAGTGAGTTTCTGAGGGGCAGCAAATACTGCCTGATCCCATTTGCTTCCTGGGAAGCTTTTTCTGCACCTGGTAGCTGACTAGCTTATTCCTGCTCCTCACAGCAGTCTCTCTGCAGGAGCTTCTGGCTCCCAGCTCCCTGCCAGGCATTCCTGGCAGCCACACTCCGAAGTATCTGAAACTTTCTTCCCTGAGTGTGCTCAGACTGATTGCCATTAAAGAGGATGTTTCCCCTTCACCCCAGTCTTTAAAGTAATACAAGACAGCTGTAAACAAAAATGAAAGGTAAAACAGATACTATCTGTCATAATGATCAGAGCTGCCGGATGAGTTTTGAAAAATACACGGCCAGTTCTCTTCTGTCACCATTGCCTGTAGTGCGGACAAAAATCATAAATGCCAAGGATAATGCTTGCATAAGTATGTGAGTATGAATGGGGAGAAAAAAAGGAGTGCGAAGAGTGGGAGAAAGTTGGGTAAAGATCTTACTAAGAACTCATGCTGATTAAGAGAATTTAAATGTTTTAAATTATGATTCACAGACATTACAGAAGGTTTCAGACTATTAGTTAAACTTGCAGGTGCAGGTTTGCTCACTATAATATTTTCTTAATACATTTAATCATGTTTTGATCAGTCACTGTAATAGAGAGCGAGCAGTGGAAGCCAAGGAACAGAAGCGCTCACATGGACATTAAGGAAGCATTTTTATAATACACATAGAAGAGAAATTATCAACCACTCATCTAGGAGGAGCCAGATCTGACCAGCTCTCCAAAGACAGAAAGTGATCGCTCTTGTTGTATTAACTTCATTTTCTTAAGCTACTGAACTTCACTTGCTCATCTGGAGAGCAGGCTCTGCTCCGTTTCTCTCCTTTGTTTTCCATGTTTACTCGATCTATGCTCAAATGTAAAGAAAAGTTCATTTATATTCAGTGGTGGTTGATGCTACAATTACATGTCACAGCCCAGCAGCAGGAGTAATGACGTTTTGTTTCCTCATTTGGGGTGGATAGAAGGAACGTGCGAAGGAAGTGACTTTCTGGAGAAAGAGTGGAAGGAGAAGTAAGGGATCAGAAATGGATGAAAAAAGAATGTAAGTTACTTACGCTCTTGCTCTAAAATGTGTGAGGGACCCCAGCTAGATAAAGGCCTGTATGTCTGTGTAGTTTAGGGAGGCTATAAAAAGTAACATAACTCTGTCCACTGCAGACTACGATGTGGTTTTACACGTGTTTATGGAGAATTCAGAGGCAGTTATACCGTAAGAGGTTGCCAAGTGTGTATTTCTCCACTCAGAGACTATTCCCTGCAGTCTGTTTTCTCGTGATCTTTTTTTTTAATGTAACCAGTAAATGCCATGACACAGACTGACTTGTTCATTTAAAGAGGAAGAGGTGAAATAATCAGGGAAATTAAGGTTCATGCAAGCATTAGATTGGGATTTATAAAACTTGCTGACGAGTTTGTTACTGCTGTTACATCACATTTAGCAAGTCTTGATTTTGCATGTTAGCAGCTAAAGTAGGTATGATTTCACCACAGCAAAATCTGATTTTTAGTTGTCTGTGGCAAGAGAGTGACTAGATTTTCCCCACAAGCCCTTTACTGCAGTGTTAGAGATGGTGCTAATTTGCATGGCAGTGTCCAGCGTGTATGTAGTCAGGGGTGCTGCCCACGTCTGAGGTGCCACTTCAGTCCATGGCTGCAAGAAAGGCTCAGGCAGCTCCTTGGGGAGCACTCGCCTTCGTTAGCACCGATGGACATCCTCTCAGTGCAGCGCACGGCTGACATCGTTCCCACTGTGCAGAACAGGCACACTTGCTTTCTCCTCGGGTATCTTCCCTGCTTTTCCGTAGACATTTACCGAACAGTGCAACACCTCGCAAACATACGCTGCCTTGCCTTTGGACGACACTGCTAAGTCTGTGTTTTCCTCCAAAATTTACTTTCCTGGTGTTTTAAGCAGACCTGTTCACACTTTGCAGACACCCTCTTCAGTTGTCATTTTTGCTTCCTGTGAGGCTTCCTGAGCTTCCTGTGACTGTGTAGCACTAGGACAAATTTTCCTCCAAAATCTTTAACTGGTCTGGTAATGTTTTGCAGGGTGGAAAATTTTAACAGCTTTTTGAAAGTTTGCTTGGATCTGTAAACAGTTTTTTAGGTTTGCGACTGCATTTACAGTCTGGCCTTCAACTAGAATTCTCCAAGCAATTTAAAACTGTATATTTGATTCAATAGCTTGAAACCAAGTATAAATGCCTTAAAAATATTTTTCTTTTTTTGACTTCTGAAGTCTGATAGTTGTCAAAAAGAGTCCTTCTTTCAAGGATTTTTATGTGTCTCGGATTTCTGAAGTGCTGTTGTACACCTAAGTTGTTCTTCATTGTGTAGCAATAGACTGATAAACAAATGTAGTGTCTTTATCTCTGCAATACCAAAGAAAATGAATGTTGTCATCTCCTTGTCTGTCTTTTCAGTGCTATTGACTGTTTTCACAGAGAGAACAATTTTGCTACCACCACCTCTGAAGAGCTTGAGCTTTTGTTCCCTACTCATTGGCATTTCTTCTATTCATATAGATTTCAGACATACTCTTTTCTTTCTGATGAACCCCGTGCTGTTCTTACATGACAATCAGTACAGAAAAGCGGTCGTGAGGGAGGGAACAAGGTTCCTATCTCCCACCGAGCTGCTCACACAACTGAACAGCACCGTTGTTCTTGAACAGCATGTTGTCGCCCTTGAGATGTATTTCCTATCAAGTCTCTTAAAAGACATTTGACTTTAGGCACTGTGTGAAGGGGCATCAGCGTTATCCATATGAATGCTAAGTTTGCCTAGCTAGGCACTGAAGAGTACTTAATGTCATTTCTATTCTGTCATATTTTGTATAAAATACTTGTAGTGAAGAGCAATAGCTAAGATGGTGCAAGAAAATTTGGCACTGTTTTTAATGTGTATATAGGGTGGAAGGTCAGTAACAAAGCTAAGAGCTTCCACACAGGCATGCCTAGCTTAGAGCTTATTAATTGTTAGCAGGGAGCAATACGTCTTTCAAACGAGACGGTAATGTTAGGCGAAAGATTTGCCCAATAAATGAGGCCAGTATAAATTGCATTCACCGACAGTGCCAAACGGCATGCAAACAACAGCTATTTCAGCCAACAGCAAAACTTGACTCTCAACTCTTTATGCATAGCCCTAGTGTGCGAAAGGACAACGGCTGTTGCTGCTCAGTCACTATGGCAGGCTCACAGAGGGTGAAAATGGACAAATGGGCAGGTCGTTTTGGCATGGAAAGGGGGAGACGTGGAGATGCTGTTGCTGTTCTAGCCTCTGTTCTTCCAGGAGCTTCACCTTTTCCCCCAGGTCTCCCCAGCTCTCTCACAGCGTTGGGGGGGGGAGGGTGGTCCAGAAAGGAACAGTGTTGCAACTAGTTAAAATCCCTATGAATGGCACCTTCAAATCCTCCAGTCCAAGAATCATTCACTTTCGGTAGCTGTTAATACGGTCATTAAGATCTAAACAACAAAGGACTTGGTGTCCGAATGTCCACCTAGCTTTCCAGGAAACTACTCAGCTTTCCAGGAAACCGTTTTGAACTAAGTAACGGTAACAACTGTATGCACTCCAGGGTCTTAGCCTCATCCTCTCTTCAGAGTAATTTGAGCACTAATATCTTTCAAGTGGGAGCTGTGATTCACGAGTAGGACTGTGCTCTGGGTTTGCTCTTCTGTCCCTGCTGCAGGGACCGCTCAGCACCTCACGTAGCAAGTTGCGGCGCGCTGTTGTGAGGAAATCGGAAACTGGGGTTGGTTTACCTTAGCAGACCAGACCATAAAATGCAGCTGTTCAACCCAAGCTTTCTCCCAAAGCTTAGCTGCTGCTGGAACGGGGATGGGACTGCTGAGCATGGGAGCCGGTGTAAGGGGAGGTGTCTGTGCTTGAGAATCATTGCCCTCGAGAGCAGACGTGCAATGTGGAAGTTTTCTGATTTTTTTTTTTTTTTTTTTTTTTTTTTTTTTTTAATGAATCAGATGCTCAGTGTTGGTACTTTATAGGCAGAGACAGACTGTTTCCATGAGTTTATAGCCTATAGGACTGTAGCAGGCCAGCGCAAGGTAGCGGGACATTGTGAGAAGACGATAGATAATTGCCGTTTGAGTCACTTGCGTCTAGTTACAGCACCCTCTCCTTCAGCAGCTGACTCCTGACTCTTCATGTGCCTTAACTTTAGTACAGTCAGAACACAAAATTATGCAGTGACAGACTGCTAATGGATGCTACAGATGCGGCTGTGACAGATGGACAGACCGTGGCTGAAAGGAGACATCGTCATTCTCTGATCTGACACTAACATCTGGATGACCTTTAGCATTCAGTTGGTCTGTTTCCCTATGTGTGTAGTAGGGTTATTGCCTATTCTGCAAAGAGCTTTGAAGTCATTAGGTGTAAGCTTTGATTTGACAAAAACTTTTAATAATCTTATAATACTCAGTCTCATTTTTAAAATGCATGGTGCTTCCTCTTCCTTCTCCACTATGGGGATTTTAGGGTTTAACTATTACAGCCTTCTCTTAGGTAGCACAGTATGTTTGTTCATTTTAGAAGTTGGCCTTCTCGCATGTCTGTTTCCTGGAGGATGGCCTTCCTGTTTCACTCAGCCTTGCTTTGGTGGTACAGAGGTTTACTTTGTTTCATTGCCTGACAGTTACTGGCTTGTATTTCTTACAATATATTAATCACTACAGAAATGTCAAGAAATGCAATTGTGGAAGTTGCTGTTGTGTTATCAGCCAGTAGTTCTTCCTTCTTCAAACCAATGCTGTTCCTGGGAGGGATATGCTCAAAGACTAGTTTTGGTATAGGTACAGATGAAAATCTCTTATTTTTTGATGGGTAGGATGACTCCTATGTAGAATTGTTGTGGTTTAACCCCAGCTGGCAACTAAACCCCACGCAGCCACTCGCTCACTCCCCCCCGGTGGAGTGGGGGAGAGAATCGGAAGGGTAAAAGTGAGAAGACTCGTGGGTTGAGATAAAGACAGTTTAATAGGGAAAGCAAAAGCCGCACACACAAGCAAAGCAAAACAAGGAATCCATTCCCTCCTTCCCATCAGCAGGCAGGTGTTCAGCCATCTCCAGGAAAGCAGGGCTCCCTCATGTGTAACAGTGACTTGGGAAGACAAACGCCATCACTCTGAACGTTGCCCCCTTCCTTCTTCTTCCATAAGCTAAGCATGACACCATATGGTGTGGGATATCCCTTGGGTCAGCTGGGGTCAGCTGTCCCGGCTGTGTCCCCTCCCAGCTTCTTGTGCCCCCCCAGCCTGCTCGCTGGTGGGGTGGGGTGAGGAGCAGAAAAGGCCTTGACTCTGTGTCAGCACTGCTCAGCAGTAACGAAAACATGCCTGTGTTATCAACACTGTTTCCAGCACCAATCCAAAACACAGCCCCATACTAGCTACTATGAAGAAAATTAACTCTATCCTGGCCAAAACCAGCACAAGAATCTAAAATGTCTTTATTAAAATAACATTTGTTTTTTAATTTCTGTCTTTATACCCCATGAGTTTTCCAGCTGCTCCATAAACCAGGAAAAAATAAAAAGAACATCAGGGTAGGGAGGATATATTTCACATGCAATTATTATAAAATAGTAGCTTTCTTCCAAATTTGGTTTTGTATCTTGCAAAAGAGGGGTTGCTTAGTCACACATTATCAACCAGAGATCTGGAATGTGGCTGTTAAATTCCAGCATTTCACAGGATTACTTTACTTTGTCTAAACGCTTTTTTGGAAATTGAAAGAACTCCTACAGATTTATATCAAATTTATTTTATATCAAATTTCACAGGCTAGCTTTCATTCCGTTCCTTGAAAAGAAAATAAGCAACCTCTGCCCCCACTGAAAAAGCCTCAGACCCAGGGATCTTTCCACAATAAGGAAAATGATTTTTCTTTCACGCTTCCTTCTCAAATCCATCATTATTCAGAATTCCAAGACTGAGGATGAAAATACTTTGCACTTTTCTATTTCGTCCTGACTTTGTATGTGAAGTCTGTGGAAGCCTTTTTTTTGTTAATCTTTCCTGTGAATTTAACTTGGTAAGTTAACCTCTTTTTCCGAATGGGAAACTAAGACACAAGTTTGAAGTGTTGAGTACCTTCAGTACTCAAGTGAAGACTTGAGTAGCTTGAAGCTAGATCCATGCTTAGATAAGGTAAGTACTAGAACTGCAAATACGATGTCCTTTGGAGAAGAATAACATCACCTGTCGTTCTTCATCTTTGTGCAGCTTTTCTTCAGGGAAAGTAAATAAATTTTCCAATTATGGTTTTCCCCCAAACATCCTGGGGTTTGTATGGGTGTGCTCTTCCCCATAGCTGTTAACAGACTTCGCTATTATTCCTTTATAAGCATGACTCGCTGATTTGTTCTATCATGATAGTTCACACTGTCTTAGTGTCACTTAATACTTGTCATACTTACGTAAGTCCTTTTTTACAACTGAAAGCAGGGGTAGAAAACCCTGTCCTCTTATTTACTGAAAAAACATACCCTTCCTTCCCTTATACATGCAACTTCCTCTCTCGGGGTGAACTGGCCAGTTGATTGTGATTTACATGCACCCTAAGCAGAGTACTGCCTTGACTGGCATATTAGTCATAGGCAGTGTGCTTCAACCCTTGTGGGAAGCCCCGGCCAGGAAGGAGGAAAAGGATAAAATCAAAATTCCACCACTTATTTCTGAACCTCGCCTGCTTCCACAGGCAGCATTCGTGGATCTTCTGGGTCTTAATGCAATTCTTCTGCTCCTTTAGCTAACATAAAATATCTATTTCATTGCTCTTCTTCTTCCAAAGGCCTGTAGTGAAACAAATGCATCCAAGATGGCCTTGAGTGCGTGGACAGGTGTGAGTGACATGGAAGCCCCAGCAGACCCGCTAGAAGTAAGTGACTGTTTTGGCTGTTGTCTGAAGTACTGACTGATTAACAGGAACGGCTTGAGCTGGTGCAGGTATCATGCGTGTCACTTTGTAGATTGACAATTATGGGCTGATTTTTGTGTTCCAGTAGATTTGTCTGAATGATTTACGTTGTTTAAGAGTAAAAGGAAATGTTAGAAGTATTTTTGGATACGGCATTCTTAGAAAGAAAACCTTCCCTAGCATTGGTTTGGTTTTCTCCCCCCCCCAAAAGTATCTAGTCATTTTAACTTGTTGTTATACAAAGAGTAGAAACTGACCCGACAACTTCTGTGAGCAGTATTCGGGCCAGTTGGTGCAAGTGTATATATAGCTGTTAGATTTGTGACTTGTCCTATTCACTTTAATAGAGCTCTTAAATATGCACTTAAATACACGCCTAAGGCCCAGATTCTGAAAACAATTCAACACGTGAATAACTCCATTGACTGCCAGGTAATTGCTTCAGATACTTTAAGTTAAACATGTTGATGAACTTCTACAGGAAGAGGGATTAAGTGTTTTCTGTCGTGGAAGTCAAGTGCTCCACATTAGAGTTCAGCAGGACTGGCCATAGGGCAAATACCTGGTCAGGATTTTTGCCTGTGAAGAGGCACAACAAAACTATTCTTTGATCTTCTTCATTGGTATTTGGCATTAAATTCTCTAGCTGAAGAAAATAAATTTATTTCAGGAGATTTAAGACCTCAGAAGCATTCACGCTTTTATTCTAGTTTCTCATATGTTGGTTGAGAATTTAGGGAGGAAAAAAAAATCCCTGACCAGGTATCTGAACATAGTATGTTTTATTTTTATGAGCATGTATCTTTTTTCCAGTACAGTTCTCCTGATATCTATCTATCTATATTTATCTAATAGATCACATGTTTGTTTTCATGAAAATCCGTAGAAACTCCTTGGAAATTATGTTATATGATATTGCCATTATAAAAATGAGGGTTTGGCTGCTGTTGTCCTGCTTGGGCAAAACTCCACGCTTTAAAAAATGGAACAATTGCAGACTGATTTCCTAATTTCTCCAAATGGCCTATTTGTTTTCTGTATTGCTTGTTTTGAACCCATTGTGCTGAAGTTTATTGCCTTGGGCCTGCAAGCACTTACAGGGGCAGTGCTACTCATTATTCTAGTTCTTGCAAATGAAGGGAATTACTTATGCCCACTTCAATTTATGCTCAACTTTTGTGGCTTGTACTACTTGTTTGTATTACCATCTGTAAGATAATTAAAATCCTATTTTGTGTTCTGTGTCTCAGATGGTACAAATAGACATAATTCTGTTTATTTCAGTGCCATTTGCATAATGCTTCAATTAAAACACAGACTAAGCAGGGTTAAAGCAGATGCACACTTCAGAATCTGCTGTCAGCAGGTGTAAAGGTACTGAAATACAAAAGCAATGTAAGAAAATGTTGCTGTTTCAGTTTCTTTACATGCACATGATAGGGTGGATGGGAGTTTTATATGATGATCTTGACTTGAAGAGAGGATGCCAAAAGCATTCGTTTTTGAACATTTCTTTTCTCCAGTTAAGGCACATATTACTGACCAAAAAGAAGACTATATCAGCCAGTTCTCTGGAACAACAGATCCTCTCACTGGAAAGACAGAGACGAGAGGTAATCTTAAGTTTACCCTTAACCTTTACAGGAATAATCTCTAAGACAGACATTACAATATCAGTAATATGCCCGGGGCAGGAAATCACTGAATCTGTTATCACTGTTACTTACACCGTTTATGCTGCAGTTGCTTTTACCCACCAGTCCAGCAAGGCCTATGTTTTTCCTGTGGGAATCTCATCCTGCACTCTTGTGAGACAATTTCTATGTGGAGACTTTCTGCTTTGCATTTCTTCACAGCCTGAAGTATGCAGGCACTTAAAATTATGTTTAAGCTAGTTCCTATAGTCCTACTTCTCTCTACCAAGCTAGGCAGAGTTATATTTGGAGAACTGTTCCTAAAAACAAATGATGACTTATTGTAACGCAGCTATAAATCTAGAAGAGCAGAGATTTATAAGGTACAAAGGGCAAATTTTCTGAATGATCACTATTGTAAAGGCCAAGGAACCACTGTGAGTAGTAGCCAGTGGTGTCTTGGTCACAGGTAGCAGCAAACTGGAAGCCGTTTTTTTGCTGAGCATCCTAAAGAGTGACCCTATATCCTACAAAGCAAAATGCTTCAGAGGGACCTATTTGGCTTTCTCCAATAAAAATGCACACACGCTGACTTCGCTCCTACCGCTTACATGTGTGGTGTTAGCCAATCTTCCCATCTTGCATGAGTGCGCTTGCTCAAGCAAAATGGGGACCTATTTGGCTTTCTCCAATAAAAACGCACGCACGCTGACTTCGCTCCTACTGCTTACATGTGTGGTGTTAGCCAGTCTTCCCATCTTGCATGAGTGCGCTTGCTTGGTTTAGTGGTACTGAGAAAGGCAAGCGGGGTTGCACCCAGTAGTAATTGCAGTCAATAGGAGTCTTCAATTCACTTGTTTGAAGTCAGAGGGACCTATTTGGCTTTCTCCAATAAAAACGCACGCACGCTGACTTCGCTCCTACTGCTTACATGTGTGGTGTTAGCCAGTCTTCCCATCTTGCATGAGTGCGCTTGCTTGGTTTAGTGGTACTGAGAAAGGCAAGCGGGGTTGCACCCAGTAGTAATTGCAGTCAATAGGAGTCTTCAATTCACTTGTTTGAAGTCAGAGACCTTCTAATTGGAAATATGTTTATGGAACTTAAAGCAAACTAACAAGAAACTCCTTGGCCATTTAGGATTTGCAGCTTGGGATTTGTACAGCGTTGCAAATGATTCACCTGTAGCTTATTGTGTATTTGCATGTTTGCTGAATGTTACTTCCTGAACGTTCGTGTACTTTAACTGAAATACCGAAGCACTGGAAGATGGGTCGTAGAGCTTGCCAAACCTTAAACTTGCTTTTTCTGAAATGAACTGGCCAGATAATGAGGAAGTTGTGAACACTCATAGCTGGAGGATTAGAATGCCAGTCTGTTTTTTATTTATCGACAATGTTGAAATAAGGGTTATTTACTGTGTCTTCCTGATAATTACAGCTTTTGGAGGTGAACAAGCAATGGGATCATCAGTTTAGAAGTATGAAACAGCTTTATGAAAAACAGGTAAAAATGTTGACTACTTCTATTGGAATATGTATGCCACCTGCTGATAGTTAAGTCTGTGCTTAAATACCGGTCAGCCATAGCTATAGTAAATATCTTAGGGGGGGAAGGCATTATGTTTACTTTGTCTTTAGCTCACAAATTAAAAAAGCTTCATCACATAGAAGTGAAGCTAATGTGTGTACAGTCTTCAGTAGGACAAAATAAGCAGAGAAGCAGCGCATCTCTAAAATAGTAGGGACCAGGGTGGACATGACAGCAGAAGTCTTCATGCCCTCCACAAGGTAATAAAAATTGCTCATGCTTCAGAGCACAACTAACTGAAAATTAGCCTACAGTGCCTGGTGTGCCCAGCCACTGATACGCATCATCACATATCTGTTGGTTCTTGTACCATCTCTTGTGGCTGGCTTGTGAAGCCTGGAAGCTCACTGGGGCTCCCTGTAATGGGGGAGCTCTCAGATAAATCCTCCATGGATGCTGCCTTCTATAAGCAGAGAGGCTTTTGTTTTTGAGAAACTGCTCTGTACAAAAGCTCTTCATTTAAAAAAAAAAAAAATTGTAAATAAATTATTTTTATTTCCTTTTTTTGTCAAGATCCCATTGGCATAGCTTTCATTCTGTGAAAATAGATATTCTGTGCTCTGTGGCATCTTTGCTGCAGGCATTATAATCAGCTGCCTAGTGAAGCTGGCTGCTTACAATTTTGCCTGATATTCCAAAGACCAAGTTGGTTCATTGACTGACAATTCTCATCTGTTTCCTTCTATGAAAATGAAGTTTGCAGAATGACCTCATGTGCTTATCAGGAAAATTTTCTAATATTTTCCAGTAAGCTTTACTGAGATCTGGAACCCAAAAAAAAAAAAAAAAGAAGAGGAATTTAAATGGCTCTTCCTCATTTAATATGGGACCATTTTATGCCTCTGGCTAGCTCATTTGGATGTGCACCACTGCAGAGGGAGTCCAAATTGCAAAAGGAAAAAAGAACATTAAAATGGAAAATTCGTTTGGAGGGACAGACCCATGGTAGCTGTCCTTTGGCAGCAAAACAGTGCGAGACCCAACTGGGTTAACACCAACAGAGAATTTGCCCAGAATCATTAAGAGTCTCCAGTGGAGACAGAGCAGCGGAGTGTGGAGGTGGGGAGGGGAAAGTCAGTGGCTGGGGACTTCACACGCAACCAGATCCACTCCTTTACGCTGGATCTGCTGAGAGCTGAAAGGATTTGAAGGCACCTTCGAGGTGCTGTGCCTTTCAGGATCCCCAGTCATCCCACCATGGTCTGTCACTTGCTTTTCAGCTGGCAGAAATGAAAGCAAAACTGGACGTGTCAGAGAGGAGAGTCAGTGAGCTGGAGGAAGAGAGACCTCAACGGCATCCAGAAGATGAGAGATTGCGAGCCCTGGGCAGAGAGAGGCCGTCGCAGGAAATGGTAGGAGGGTGCACTCTGTCACCCCGTTTGTGCTCAGTGTTGAACACTGTCTTGCCTTTCCTCTTTCTCTTCTCGCAAGTGGCAGGGCATGGGTTGTCGCAAAGCCATGAGATGAGATCGTGGTGTTGAGTGCTCTTCAGTATTGTACCCAAGGCAGTGCTTGATCTTCTGTCTGATCAGAGAACTATGTATAGGGAGAGAGTCATTTCAATAGAAATCGGCAGAGAGCACGATTAGTGTTGGGGGGGGAGTAAAGAACAGATTGATATGAATACTGCAGAGATTTCCTTCCTTGCTGTTCAGTTCGGGGTGGATTTCTTTGTGAACGAAAATGCTACAGTGATTTCAAATGGAATAGGAACGTCATTGCAGACGTTACACGAAGTGCTTGGCAATAAATACTTGAAGGAATGAATTCAGCTCCAGACACCCACGTTTTGCTATTGACAGTATAGGCTTTTATACGTGTGCTAGCTATCTCAGCTCCCCGTAAATATTAGTGATGTAGTCAGTGCAGTTATTAGGGCTGAAAGTGCCTGGGCTGATCAGCTGCTCTAGAGCGGCGTTCACCTCACCCTGAGAGTGTTTGGGCACCTCTCTCGGGACTCCTTACGCACTGGCTCTTGTGTAGGCATTCGCATCTAAAGCTAGATCCCTAAGCTGAATTCCCACCACAGTAAAACCACCAACCTGAGCGATCACCATATACATGCCCAACGTATACACAAAACTTTGTGCCCCGTTTTACAAGCACCACAGAGTGGTGCTTCCTACTCTCATTCTGCTTCATGGTATCACACGCTTCATAGCCTCTTGTAAGAGTTTCTGGATGGTGCTCTGACGGCTGAAGCCGGGCTTCTCTATTCGCTTGATAACATGAAACAAACCTGAAAACAAGTGGCAATCGCATCACTTCCAGGCTCAGATAAGATGTAAGGTAGCTGCTGCAGGAAAAGAAATGCAAAGCCCTTAGCTTTTATCTTCATGAGCAGAACATTCATCTTACTTGTTTATCAATTACGGTATGGTCTTAGCTAAGCACGTGCTTGACTTCCAACCAATAGGACCATTTACATGTTTTAAAGCAAACTATGTCGTTATGTACTTGCTGAATCATTGCCTTTATTTGCTCTGAGTGTGGATTCAACGCAAGACAATCCATCTTCCTGTTCATATTACTAAGGTTTTTACTGCCTGCCCTTTAATATATGATAGCTGTGAAAAATAGCCCTAGCTACCTTTCTGAAAAGGTAAGGATGAGGAGTGCACTCTCCCAATTTTTTTAATACATACATGAATAATGAACTAAATGACAATACAATCCAAAAATCTCTTACGGGGACAGGTTAACCTGCATGGAACTTCAGCCTTAGCTCAGCAATTTCTTTACAAATTATATACTCAGCCAGTAAGTGCTTCCTATTTACTCTGAATTTCTTCACTTTTTGGATGTCATGCAGGGATGCAGGAGATCTACACCTTTGCAGAGGTAGCTGCTAATAGTAGAGATTTTTGAATGAGCAACAAGGATTGTAACACCCATGTCAGCAGCTGTGTCAACTCAAGTTATGCTATGCTGCCCACGGGGCAGGATGAAGAAAAAGCGGTGCCAGGGGACGATTCAGAAAAATGCATAAAGATATGTTCAGCTTGAAAGCACGTGAGCAGGCTTGTTGCTTTGAAGTTCAGCAGATGCAGGAGAGGCCCAAGCTGACAGATCTACCAAGATTAGATTTCTAGGGGCTTTATGGTTTTTTTTCCTGCAGCAACTAACATTCTTCATACCTGCGTTTGGTTTTATATATATATATGTGTGTGTGTGTGTGTATATTTTTTTTTTCTTTTCTTGAAAGGTAACAACCCTTTCTTTTTTAAATGTTTTACTTACCCCCCTGTAGCCACAGAGCTGGGATGGGCTGTACAGGGCAATTGCCAGAGCAAAGTTCTCTATTTGCTTATCTAGTCCAGCAGCCTGACAGTACCTTTTAAATTTGTTTACTCAGAGTGGCAGTTCTCTGGGTGCTCTGCTGAGCCATTTAGGAAAACCAGCAGCACCGAACAACCCTGAGACAGATTACATGCTGTTGCTGTCTTGCAGAGCTTTTTTTTTTTAACGCACCTGGAGGTATGGCTCTTACAGAATGATAACGTTATGAACTTTATCTGTCCCCGTGTCCTCCATGGCCCCAGGAAAACTGACTGTTTTGGAGATTTAATGTTGGGTGGGTTTGTTTTGGGTTTTTTGTTCTCTCTGGGCGTGACTATGTACCCATAGGCAGGAATCAAAGACCAACCTAGTCACTGGAGAGTCTAGGTGCCATAACACCTAAGATTCAGTGTTGAATAAGAAGCAATAAGACATAAGAATTCAGATGGTTCAAAAACCTGAACAACCAGGAAATCTTTAGTTATAAATGGCCAAGTTCCCGGAGGTGTCAGCCTCCGAGAAGGAGAATGTGTGCTAGGAGCTAGGAAAAGAGGATGGCAACGGTGAAGAGAAGAGCATAGCTAAAAGCCTATATGGATTTTAGTGTTTTGGTTTGTTTTTCTTTAATATCTTCAAACATACATGCACATGCCAGCTTGAGCTAGTTCCTGGGTGAGTTCCTATACTTAATGCAGAGATACCCTACTAATCTTGCCCAGTTTTTGGAGAAAATGAAATGTTCCAACTAACTTAGAACAAAGGAAAATAAAGCTATCTCATGTGTAAGCAACAGTTTCTCAAGGGTGTTTTTCAGTGGCTCAATTAGCACACGGTGATGCACTTCTCATGAGCCTGAACAGTAAATGCCTAGTCGCTGGCTGCACAGAGATATGCCTGTTGCACAGAAAAAAAAAAGCATTCATATGGTGTTCTGTGCATGTGATTGTTGGATCTCATTTTTTTAATCACATAAAGCAGCTGCAGAAGAATATTTGAAATACTTTCTTTTTTTGTAGAACGGGCCATTCTGTTTAATATGTCTAAACAGCTTTGGTCTAAGACAGTCTGGCAAAAGCGGGCTAGCGAGGAATGCATTACCCTGGGAGAGAAGCTTACACAATGCCACTTGCTTCAGGGTCTGATTCAGATCTTAGCTTCCTTCGTTGTAAATTGAAAATAGCCGCGCTGAAAGCGATAGGAGGAGAGAATCAAACTTAAAGTTTGGCAAATCTGTCCTAATAATTCCTATAATAGCATCTTGAAAGACTAGCATATAAATCCTGTTGTGAGTAGGGACATCTTCCTGGTAGTTTGCTGGGGTGGCAACAGTGTTAGGCACATGCACTAGGAAGGGTCAAGCTCAAGTCAACAACAACTGTGATGGGGTCAAAGAAAGTGGATTTTTAAGCCTTGGTTGGTAGCTTGGTAATTCTTGAGCAGGCTGAGGCCTGCCTCAGTCTCTCGTGTAGTGGAAAAAGCCCTCAGACTATGTGATACTGAGATCTGGTTTTGTCTTTGATGTTGTGTGACACTGGGAATGTCTGGGACTCCACCAGCATTTAGCCCTGGCCTTACGCTACGAGTATGTACAAGTAATGCAGGTTTGTGATGATCATCTGTACAGTACTGATCTGCTTGGCCTGCCAGCTTTCTCATGGCTTTGTGCAACTGCAGAGCAGGGATTTAGTCTGGTATGTTGTCTCTGTCTCATCATATGGTGAGTGGTCAAAACAATTTCAACAGACTTTATCATATCTGGGTTTTACTAACCATCCGCCTTCCTGTTCCCTCCCTTCCCAGCTGTGTTTGGGACAACAAAAATGCAGCACATCTGCCAGACAGCAGATATTCTGAAAATTGTTCTTGAAAAATGGTTCCATCTGCATTTCAGCAGCATCTCTCTGTATTTTTGCGTCCCAGAAAGAAACAAAGGTCCTTAGTGAAGCTCTCCATGAAATGAAGGAAGAGAACAATCTCCTGAAGCAGAAGAATGCCTCAATGATCAGAAAGAAGGAACACTATGAGCGTGAAATAAGTCGTCTCAATAAGGTATGAACGAGAGTGAGCCACTGACCAGAACCTCTTCCTTTAATTCTAGCGTCTCTGTTGCCAAGCAGTGATACTGCCAGATGCCCATCTTTTCAATCCTGGGTGAAAAACATGTTCATGGTAGCAAACTCGTGATCACTGTTAGGGAGCTGAGGAAACAAGCAAGAACTTACTTTAGCTAATACCCGTGCATGCTGTTCTTAGTAGGTAGTAGGGTTGCACTGTAAAGAGGAAAGTTAGGTGAACCTTTTGGCTTCTGCTGTGAAGCCTCTCTACGTGTCATATCTAAGCTCTTTCTATGTTCTCCCTCCTTGGAACAAAAGGGAAATGGCACAAAGATGCTTTCATATGCATCCAGTGAAACACTGTGATTAAAAAAAAAAAAAAATTCAGACAGTTTAAAAAATGTTGGTTTACATATATTGTTTGAAAAAAATGGCTTCTTTTCACAAGACATGCTCCTGTCTTACTTTTCATATATATACATACATATATATATTCATACATATAAGTATGTATGTGTATATATGTCTCATTGAGGAAATTGCCATAAAATAGCTAAATGGGATTTATTTTTTTTAACTGAGGGAAAGTAATAAATGTAGCTTTGTTTAATCAAAAGATCACATAAAGCAGTGGGTGTTTTCTAACAATTTTGTATTTCATGGTGAACCACAAACACTTCCTGAGGAAATGCACTGCAGTAACCATTGCTGTGTAACTTTAAGTGATACACAAGCTAAAGGGCCATGATGTGCAAAAGTCAAGGCAAAAAAGTAATGTTGCCATATTCAAAAATTTGACGGAACGTATGATCTCTAACTCTTTTTGAAATGCGTTGACAGGACTTGCTCAAAGCCTCAGTGTAACTTTCATTCAAGGTCTTGTTTGTAGAACAACTTATTTCAATGTTTTATTTTGCTGTCTTTTCTTATGATGTGGTTGGAACTAAGACAGACGGGTAAATAGACCATACTTTTAAATGAAACATCAGTTTCATGTAAAACGCTTTCCCATGAGTAATACTTTACTGATTTTCTGTGTATTTGTGTTCTTCAAATCTCGTGTCATGAATGCATGTAAGACTGGAAGGGAACCTCTGTGCCCTTTTAAGTCTAGTCCCCTGCTATCACAAGTTCAGTGACTTGAAGTTCTTACGAATTCTCTGAAATCAAACAACTTTTTCCTTAAAATTACTTAAGCTCCTACTGTGCTTCTGTTGGAAGGCTGTTCTGGAACTGTAACCCTTCTTTCATTAGATGCTTTCATCTATTTCAACTGGGCTGAATTTATTCTGGCCAGATGATATTCATTTGTTCTTCTGGTAGCAGTGTCGAACAGATCTGCTTCATGCAAGGAGTGAAGCAGATCTGCCCTCTCGATGAAGCAGAACTGTCCTCTAGTGAAAATACGATTGCTCTCAGGGGCACTTGCTCCTTCCCTATAGCTACAGAGTGCAAGCCTATTTTCACTAGAGGACAGTTTAGCTAAGCTGACCCAGCTTTTTTGGTCTTTTAAAATACAACTATGCCTGCTAATATGCATGTTTTTTCATCTCGGTCATTTTAAACAGCTTAGTTCTCAGTTTATGGAAGGTACTACTACTTGTTTCTAAGTACGTTAACCTTTTTACTTTAAGTACATTGATCTTTTTACTTTTGGCTTTATCCCTCTTTGATCCTGTCATGCAGAGTACCCAAAGTATAGAGTCCGATCTGATCGTACTTTGAAGTCTGCAGCTTGAAACTGATGTTGCAATGCCATAATGGTTTGCCATGCTATATCCCAAGTTTGGCTTTCCTGTGGTTGTTTCCTTGTTCACCACGTAGGTCAAGTACAAGCCAAATTTCTGACTTATTTCATAACTTTGCTGCAGCACCATCTCAATTGTTATTTAAACATAGACTAATAAGTTCCAATGCATTTTATAGTGGGGAAAAAAATATTTTAGTTATATGTATATAATTCATAGTTCAGTTTCTTTTGCAACATATAGCTCAGTGTGACTGTCTCTCTTACCCTGCACTTTCATCTAAAAGCTGACAAAAGTGGTAGCTTTTGGGATCAAATCCTTTCTCCAGTCCCTAAAGGCACTTTAATTTTTCTTCTTGAAATTACTCATCTAGCTGTCCCTCGAGCATTTTCCTATACAATTTTTTTCAGCTTCCTTGAGATATGATTTTCTGGGGGTAGGGGAGTGGTTTGGTTTGGGTTTTTTGTACTTTGACTCTTAATGAAGTAGGAATAGCCAAATGATCTGCAAAAACTGCATATAGAACGAATTATAGAAGGTGCCTAAAAGTTTTGTCATTTCTCAAATTTACTAATTTGTATATTTCTAAAAGTTTTGTCATTTCTCAAATTTACTAATTTGTAATTACAAATCTTAGTTACATATTTAAAATAGCTTATTTCCTTTTAATTTGAAGTGTCTCATGATCATTTTATTCACAGTTGGTTTTTAAAACCAGTGGAACAATAATATCTTCATTTCTTCCATAAATGACTCTAAAACAGCCCCGCCTTTTGTCAGTTCAGTGTGATGGGAATTTTGAAAGAAAAATATTCCAGTTACATCTTTGAGTATTAGCTTCAGTAGTGTTTAGTCTCCATTTTATACTTGGGAACCAAAATCTCCTGTAATGACATAATTCTCAATAATTTGCTACTGATCTTATAGCAACATTACAAAACTTTACTCTTTTCCCCCCATACCTAGCACTTCTCAGCATGTCTCTTACAATCTTTCCTCAAAGATTTTGATCTGGGTTTAGTATGACCCTAAACCAATTCAGCTTCATTCATGCTACAGTTTGTTATTTTATTTGAAGTGATAAACGGGGTCTCACAGCATTGCTTCCAAATGCGGTCTAAAAAAATCCTCACCTTATTTTTCTCTACTATTAACCTTTTGAAGATTGAATTTTCTGGATTTTTCTGGGTTTTTCACCATAATCCTGGATGTAGAACCTCCTCAAAAAACCCCCAAATAAACAAAAAAACCCTGAAGAACTGCCCAAATACCTCATATGTCTATATCATGATATGATTCTAGGAAGTGAGCTGCAAGAAAAATAGTCAATATAGTGACGTTTGTTCAAGAATTAGGAGAACCGTCAACAGCTTATGACTATATGTACTTCAATTGTGAAGGTGCGTTACCATTTGGTAACGTCAGGATGGCCGTGATCAGTAAGATACGTTCCAGTGAAGGAGTTTGAACAGAAGACAGAGCCATATAAAAAGTAGGTGCAGCAGATGACTGGGAAAATGGTATGTTGTAAAGGAAGCAGGACACTCGGTTATCTTTGAATTAGGGCATCTGAAGCACTTTCTTTTGAGGGTGGTCAAATATTAGAAGAGGTTGCCTGGAGAGGCTGTGAAATCACCCTCCTTGGAGGTGCTCAATACTCAGCTGACAGGCCCTGAGCAACCTGACCTACCTGGCCTGGCTCTGAGCAGGGGCTTGGACCTCCAGAAGTCCCCTGCCACCCAAATGAGTCTTGTGATTCTGTGGTTGCCAGCAAGATCGAGATGTATCCCGCAAAGGCGGGAGGAAGAAGAAAAGGACGTTTCACTTGTCTTTGTCCTCAGCAGTACGCTTAACAAACCACACAGCTGGGAAAGGGTCTGGGTAGTAGTCAGCCAGGGAATGTATCACACGTACCTCAATACTGTCAAACTTCACTGACTCTTGCTGCTGCTGGCGATCCATGCCCAATCTAAACACCAGATTTTTTTAATTTGTTTTACTATTTGTGCAGAGCACTACAATGTCATAGCCTAAAAGGGATTAGCAGTGGCTCAAAGGGGCAAAAGGAGGATTAATCAGTAAGCTATCTGTATCTTCATCCTCCCATGTTTATGTTCAACCTTATTTATGTATTGACATGGCACACAAACTTTGCCACTGTTATACCAATTTCTCTTCTGCACAATTCTTAGGGACAGTAGCTCATCAGATAAAAAGCCTCCTTTTTCTCTTCTCTGCTTTCCATGGAAAGTGCTAATTTTTTTTTTAATTTTTTTTGTTGGCCTTCTGATAACTGATACTAATCCTTGTGTTACTTTAGATACTGGTTCTCCTGCTTGACCACTTCCCCCTCTGCCTCTTCCCCCTCCAAATTATCTTCCTTCCTTCCCTTACGGCATGAATGGAGTGTGGCCAGCAAGGGGGGAGCTGGGGATCATTAGCAGGAATTGAACTTACTAAAAATGGATGAAGTTAGCTGAGTCCATATCTTGTGTGAGAAACATTGAAAAGTACCGAATGGTGAATATTTGTGCTAAAGTAAATAAGAAATATGTAAGTGTAGTGTGTGGTCATTGATAGAGAGGGGTAAGAGTGATTTAAAAATTATCCCAGTCCAAGGGAGAGCTGTGTAATACTGTTAAAAATAAATAAAATCTGCAAAGAACTGTGGCAGAATTTGACTGAAAAATAGAGTAAGAGCATTATCAGTGCAGTGTGTGTATTCATAACTCCCTCTAGTGACAAGCTATAGAGACTACATAACTTCCTCTCAACCGGAGGGTTTACTTCGGTTCCAGTTGAAGAAATTTGTACTCTTAGTGCAAAAAAAGTTTCAGTCAGACTTTACTGTAGTCACATTTTTAGGCCATCTTTGAATATTGCTTTTATGTTCTTGGGGTTTTTGTTTGCTTTTTTTTGGCCTCAGCTGAGTTTAGACACCTGTCTTTGTTTTCCCAAATTGTGACTTGCACAGGGAAATGGTGTTTATGAATGAGATTTGCAGCTGTGATTTCCATAGGTAAATGTTGGTTATAGTTATAAGTAAAAGCACAGGCCCCTAAATGACACTGTCTCAAATTCATGGATGTAGTGTGAGCACTTTGAAAATTTGGACCTAGTCATGCATATATGTTATTCATGGGGTTTATATCCAAAGTATATAATTGAAGCAACTGCAAGTGAAGGGAAAACCCCCACAAGTCTGTGGCTCACTCTAATCTGTTTATGTAGAGGGCAAACAGTCTAATCATTTAAAAGGATTTTTTTTTTCATATAGTGAATCTCTGTTTAGTAATTTTGCTGTTTGATGTTGCAGGCCCTTCTGGATGTGTTGAAAAAGCAGCACTCACCTGTTGTTGGGACTCCTTCAGAGAAGGGTGACAGGAACAGCCTTGAGGACATGAGAACTCAGCTTGAAGTTCTCAGACAGCAGGTGAGAACAGCTGGAAGTAAGGATGGATTTCATACAGAATAATTTTGCCCTCTCTCCCAAGAATTGTGCCTGGTAGACTTGCTATGTAGAGTTTTTGAAAGGAAGAGCCAGTTTAGCTGTAGCCCATTCAAACGCTGTTTCCTAAGATGCTGTCACCACAGCAGTGTCCACGAAGTGAAACTGAGTCCTTGCAAAGGACTGGAGCAAGGACTTGTGTAGGACTCAGAGCAGCAGAATGGCTCTCCTGACTCTTGGAGACATCCTGTCAGCTGTCTGCTGGGGGCTGAATTTCATCCAGAGGGAATGCTAAACTTCATGAGTTACTGATTGTGTCTTCTGCTCCTTGTTTTGTAGAAGTTGAAAGTTCAGTGAATTATCTAAGAATTCCTAGTCTTGGAAAAGTAGAGTGTTGGCATTGCAGTTTTTCAAAGTGTGAGACAAAACATTTGCATCCGTAACCTGCATATCAATCACTATGGAGAAGTGTATTTTTTTTAATCTTTGTTCTGAGCAATTCAAGTGCTTTGTGCACTCTTTTGCTTTCCGTATGAAAGAATCTGTTTAAAAACATGATGCTTTTCAGATAATTTTACATTTTAGGTCTGTCATCCTGGACAGTGTTAGGGTTAACATTATTGACACACAAATGGATGTGATCAGAATGAGAATTTTATTCAATGGGAATAAAATACTTGTTTCTGTCACGTTTGACAGCAGAGCCAGATTTTGCTCTCTAATGTAATGCTTGCCACATGCTGGAGAATAAAATCCTGCACTTGATTGTACAGTAATGAGTTATTTCATTCTACACAATAAAATAGAGTAAACCAATTTTTTTCAGAATTCTCATGGGGTATCCATTTTATGAATGTCTTTTTCTAGTTGTATAAATCAGTACAGTGAGTCCAGACTTCCTTCTGCACGAAATGGAGCAGAAGGCTCTAACTGTACAGAGGAGGGACTCTTGGGACAAACAGCGACGTGACAGAGCCTCACCAGAGCTTGGCTGTCATCAGCCCATCCCTGGCCACAACAGAAGAGATGAAGGCATTCATTCCTTGGGAGGTGTCCCCCTCTTTCTCAGGGCAACAGACTATATGGCAAAACTGTGACGAAGTGGTTCCCTTGCAGCCTCAGCAGATCGTACAGCTGGAGAGTGGGAGGGAGGTGGGACAGCAGAGAGGGCATCGGGAAAGAAGAAATGAGGAAATACTGAGGAGAGAAGCGTGTAGATGGACAGGGATACAAGAGAACTAGATTTCCCCAAGCGACAGCTTTTCCTCTGCTTCGGAGGGTCAGGGGCGCGCATGCCTCCTCCAGGCACAGGCTGTGGATCTGAGTCCCCTCGCGGCCACACAGAAAGCCTTTGTTCCTTTTACACAGTGTTATTCAGGAAGGGGGTTATGTCTAGTGGGGGACCATCAGGTCCAAAAAAAAACCTTGCAAAAATTAGCTGCAACAGGCAAGTTGTGAAAATAATTTATAGAGCCCTGTGTTGACTTTTTTCTTCCCCTGAGGTATTAACATTTCTTTAGTCCTCCTGTGAAGCCATAGTGCTGCTGCCAGCAAAAAGAAAACTGGATCTGTACGACAGGCAGGGCATGAGCCACAGCAAGCAAGTTCTTTGGAAATAGACTGTCAGCGGGCTTTAGTGACCAACCAAGAGGACATGAAAGGACTTCTGAAAGTTCTGGTGGTGGTTCCCACCCCAACATGCTTTTGCTGTTATTTGTCAGTAGAAGTGCCACCAACCTCCAGCTTCTTACCAGGTGGATGCCTGCCCATTAGCTGAAGAATTAAGCCAGTCAGCTTAACAGCAATTAATTTACAGATTTGTGTTTTGCTTCTGAATCCGTGTGCTCGTTGCCTGTGCCTGGGGTGGTCAGATATTTTCTAATGGGATGAAGCGCTATGATTCCTGGCTACATATGAAGAGCTAAGACATTGCATCCTTCGGTATTTGAAAGGCAGTTTGTCTTCTAGGAACGGGGTCATACCTCTGTATTTCCATTTTGAATTGTGTACGTAACATTCCCCTCTGCTTCTATGTTGGGGCGGGTAGATACTTCGGGCTGCAGTTTGAGAGGATGAATTAGAAGTCCTATATTGCAGACAAAAGGTACATGGGCCAATTATTTTTTCCACACACAGTTTCTAACATCTGGGGCACGATAGCCTCCTAGAGTATTTTTTTTCCCCACAGTGCTCCAGCCAAGTTCTAAATTCCTTGACAGTCCTGACTAGTCCAAGTCTTCTGGTCGTTAATATGTGACCATGGCTCTAAATACTATCACTTATTCTGCACAGATTAGTCCTTTGGGCCACACCTTGGTTAGACAGCTAGTGCCGTGGGTAAGGTAAACCTGCAGACAACTATGAAAAGGTGTAAAGCAAAGCAGGCTTAAGGCCAATGGTATTCAGTGGGCCATAAAAAGGCAGGATGTTATTTGATGATAGTGGCTCATCTTTAGGTTGGATAAGGTGATAATGTTTTGTCAGACTGCATGCCAGAAGTCAGTTTTTCGTGCTGTGCCAGCACCTCCCGTCTCCACCGGGATGCTAACGGCCTGCATTTGAGATACAGGGGGGAGTTAAAAGTGCTCATAATTGAAGTGAAAACTGGAAAAAAAGTTGGTAAAATGTTCGTCCTACTACTGTTTATCCCTTAAAAAGATCGATGTCTTCAGTATTTGTTATCTTATTTATAATATTTAAAACTGATATCTGCCAGTCAGCCTTTTAAATTGCAAGGGTCTACAAATACTGAAGCTGTGGACTGTTTCGATTGACGGGTGCCATTGGAGAATAGCCATTACTTGTCAGTTTGGTCATAAAAAAGATGAGGGAAGCTTTTTGTTGCAGGATTGTAAAGAGGAGGGATCCTTTTGGAATGCACCCCGCTGCTTGGCCGGTGTTTAAAAAGCAACCAAACAACAAAGTGGATGCAAATGTCTGTTGTGGCTCTGCCGAAATTCACGTACTTGGTCATAATGATTGCAGGTACAAATATATGAAGAAGACTTCAGAAAGGAGAGATCTGACAGAGAAAGACTTAATGAGGAGAAAGAAGCATTGCAGAAAATTAACAAGAGATTACAGTCTCAACTGAGTAAACTAAACTCTCAGGTATGAGTCAAAAGAAAGTTACCATTGCCAGCACATGTGTATTTTAGTTTTATTTTCTCACTTTCCACACAACCCAAGGCTTTCTGGCTTCTATTAATTGACATTGGATTTTATATGAGGTCACCACCTGGGATGAAATCATTCTGAAGTAATGCAGTAAGAAGATGAGAAATGATTAGAGATGACTTCCAAATTAAGTAGATGAAGGGAGTATTTATTGCAAAAACTCTTCAAACATATCTTAAAATGGAGGGAGGGGAACCAAAAACAAATCCAGAGGACTGTTGATTGTTTCACTGGCACTTGATATAAGAGTTGTAACATCAAACCAACTTTTGAAATAAAAGCTTCTGTAATGAATCCTGACCTCTGCAGTGGAATTACAGAGTAATGTTAATATCACCGAGGAAAAAAAAAACTGTCTCCATCCAAATTAGCTGAGCAGCCACTGCAATAATTTTTTTGTTGCAACATCCTTTTTATCTCTTCACAGTAGTGTCAGTATTCTGTTCACAGACATTCAGGAAGCCATAGTAAAATAATGGCATGCAAAACTCCAAGCTTTCTTAATCCCCTTTAAAAATGATGAAATTTCGAGGTTTCCTGTCTTGACAAAATTGTGCAATGCTTTAAAAGAATGTTCTGAGATGATTTATTGTCCTCCCCAACATTGTTGTGAAACAGAAACTTCAGTATTGGCTTATTCTCAGCCAAGCCACGCATTGATACTAGTAGGGTCTTGCAGTAGTATCAGAGGCAAGGTGCTCTCAAGTGCCCCTCGCTCCCATCAGCTTCAGTGGGAGTGGAGAGCAGGTTGGGCACCCTGGCCGATGCTGGGCACTGCTGCAGTAAGGCCCCAGACTTGTCAGTGCTTTTATGGGTACTTGGAAGCATTTCATGCAAGTGTAAAAATAGTAATGCCCGAGGGAATGCCATGATTTGCCACTCAGGGCATCCCAGGCATATAGAAATACCTTGGACAAATCTGTTAGCATTGCATGCAATAACTTTCAGGTATATTTCCCCCACCCACCAGCCCACTCCTGGGTTCTTCAATAAGGTAAAGAAATTTTTTTGTAGGAGACAAGAGTACTCAAAGACACCTTCTTCCTATATATTTTTGCATTGTCTAGAGACTAAAAGACTAAATTTCTTGCACAACCCCAACCAGTCGATGGCTGCTCTGAGAACCTCTCACAACAGTGACAGTGAAGAGGGGGACTACAAATAGGGCTAAAAGGCCTTTCCCACTCCTCCCCAGCTGCTCTGGACCAGGAGAAATGCCAACAGCACTGCACATGTACAACACAACTGAAGGGCTGTACAAGTGCTGTATAAAGTGTATGTACAACTTGACTGTCCCTGCATTGTATCGACAGTTTACACTAGAGATCTTGTTTGTCTCTTCCTGCCTTGGGATTTGATTAAACAGAGCTTGTGAAGGATTTTAAACATGAGAGGAACCATATAGAATATTTATTAGTTTGTTTTCTTAAGTCAAATTATTTAGTTGTGACTCATCTTTTACCCCTCTTTGCTCTGTCCTTAGGCAAATTCTCATTGACTCTGCTGGGACACAGAGGGCCTAAGAAAAGGCAGATCCAAATCTTGAGGCTATTGACTTTGGTCTTTTACCAACATTATTTTTCTTGTTATGCAAGTGCCTGTCCATGTAGTTCTGCTTCAAACTATTGAAAGCTACTGTGTGTAAAGAAAATGTTTCTTGAATATAGAAAACACCCAGAAATGTGCTTGCCATATCTTTGAAACCAATATTTTCTCACGTAAAGTGTCAAGACTCTGGTGTGGCACAAGTCAGCTTTTTTAAATAATTTTTAAAATCATGAACAGTCTGAAGGGTCTAAACGAGCAGCATTGCGACCCATGCTGAGAGAGGAGGGTTTCTTCCCTGTTGCTTTTTACTGATGAATTTGTACGTGAATATTCTGTCGACATCGTATCCTGCTACTAATGCATTTCTTCTTGCTTTTCTTATTTTTTGATAGACAAAAGATCTCCCGGTACAGTCTGAGAGGCCCAGCTACCCACCTCCCCTCTTCCTCTCACCATGTGTTAATTGTGGGAATTGTGGGTTGGTTCTTCACTATCAAGATCCTCGAGTACATCCAACGTCTCGCAGGGCACATGAGCAGCAACAGCACTCAGTAAGGTTCCCACTGTCTCCCATTTCACAAGGGCGCTGATTTTCTCAAAGCATGGTGACCACCGGAGAATAACATGGTGCTATCACAGTGCCATCCTCACCAGTAACTAAATCTGTTGTTTCCCAGCTTGTTGTTGGTCCAGATCAAGATTTTGTACTGGGTTTAGAATTAGCCCTAGGTCTGGAAGAGCCTTCCTGATCTCTGTACGGTCTCTCTTCCGTTACCATCTGCCCCAAAATGTTGATTTTCTCTTGATAGTCGTGTTCTTTTCTTCCTTGCTGTTCCAGTGTCTTCGGCACTGAATTGCACAGAGTGCTACCATGTGCAAATCAAAGCATAACCAACAGAAATCTGTGCACAAAGAGGAAAAATTGCAGCAATTTAAATAAATGGTTGATGAGTTATACTTAAAGTATATATTCTTATATATTTTAAATTTACTTTGGCAAATACTGTTTATTTACAGAACCACTAAGAAGAAAAAGGGGATTATTATACATTTGTTTTCAATGATACTGGTGGTCATTCCTTAATTAAAAAAATAAGGTTGTTTGATTGGACTCTTGCTGATTTCTTAGATTAATTTACTTCCACAACACACATTCAGAGCCCTTTCTAGCTATATAGTTGCCCAAATTCATAAGTATGGATCTGCTCTCTGGAGCCCAATTCTGGGCCTTCAACATAAATGATAGTAACAAAAATGTGAATGTAGCTGTGGTCAGCATTATTCCGGTCTCTTCCCTCTATTTGGTCTAAGAAAGCTTGTTGACTAATATGTCTTATTTCCGTGTCTTACATTGGGTATTTCTTTCTCTGGCCCTGTCTTTGCAAAATGACTTTCCTTCTTCTTCACTTACGGCTTCTGCGTTCATAGGTAGTAAAACTGTCCTGCCGTCAGGCAATACCGCTGTAGCCAGACTGCACGATCCCAGGTTCCCTGTACACCTTCTGGGGCAGGCAGACAAGCTATCGGCGGGATTCACAACGTTGCTCTTAAACTGTAAGGGCAAAATCCCAGATGCTGTTGCTTGTACCCAGTAGTATCTTCCCTCTGGTACGCTGCTGTGAAACAGGATTACGTGAGGAATAAGGTTCTACTGAGGGTGAGATGCTCTGGCTGTGAATGCTTTAGGAATGCAATTTTCCCAAGCAAGCCTGTGTATTGCAAAAAAGTAAAATAAAAAAAAAAAAGAATCAGCGGAAGTGATCTGAGTGTGGCTAACACAATGGGAAATTTGCTTTTTTTCCTGGCAGACAACAGGGTCCTGTCTTCCTCAGCATGAAGAAGAACAGCTTTGCACTAGGGCAGGTTATGTGAGGGGGAGTTTCTATTTCAAGGAAAATACTGCTTCAAAGAATGATATTTTTGAAGTGCTTTGGGTTATCTAAGTGGGCTGTGCTTGTTCAAATCTAGTGAGAATGCATTTAAACATGGTGAATGTCATTTTAAATACACAGTATCTGTTTCTGGCTATAAAGATGTCACATATGGAAAGATGCTTATTATTTGAGAAATTATAGCCGAATTTTTGCAAAATGCATATAAGGCTTTCAGAGTGTAGAAATCCAACGGAAAAGCTGTGGTCAAACAAGTCATTTCTATGTTTCAGGAGTGTGCTTATCTGCCTATTTATCAGAGTTGGACGTATTGCAGAATGTTTTTTTCACTGCAATTTGGACACTGTCCCAGATTATTTTGGCTCTTCTCCCTGAACTTTCATCATCTGGGTTTCTAATTCTGTGAGGGATCACTGGGTTTACAACTTTGCCATTCCTGCCGGAGCGCTGGGGTCAGTTTGACTGGTTGCTTTGTAACTCCCAGTTTCATTCTGAGTTTTCTTTGAAATTCTTTGTCTGTGTGAGCGCAGCGTTGCTGCTCTGAGCTTTGGATACCTCCCTGAGCAATTTGTTTAGCAATGAAGAAAGGTGCTAGAATTTAATGAGTGTCCTGAGTTAACATACGTAATCCTGTGTGTTTAGTCTGTGCTTTTGCTTTTTCATTTTTTTTATACCTTGCACCTTTTTGTTCCTTTTTACGTTTAGTAGAAACACTTTGTTTAGTCTGACATGAAATACACCTCTTGTTTCTGAAATTCATTCAAGTTTGCATAGTGCAAGCACATGTGAAAGAGAAGAGTAGGTCAGAGAACAGAAAATTCAACAGAAACTCAAAAAAGCAATGCAAATAAGTGTATTTTGAACCACTGGTGGAAAAACTACCTCTGCTTAAAGCAAAGCAGAGTCTTGCTTTGTATCAAAGCCTATTTTGTTTGCCCACAAGCACAGAATTAGTTAATAATTCCTGTGGATGGTATAATTTCAGTGAAAATAGGATAGCTCCTTTTTTCCTGACAGTGTATGAGAGTGATTACTGCTATGTAACTATAAATGACAGCATACATAAAAGTTAAATCTGTTTTCTGTATCCACAGCTTCATCCTGCCATCTTAATTTAGGCAGAACTTCTTTAAAAGTCTATGAAATTTCTTCCCTACAAGTTGAAATCTGTAAGAGTCTCCTTGGGACTACTCAGGATTTTGTCAGAGTAATTTCTGCAAAACAAGAATTATTTTCCCAGTTTAACTAATTTGAAGCAGTAATTACCTGAAATTTGACAAGCTTGCATGTGCTACTTAAACCAGATAGACAGCTTAATACAGCTTCAACTGAAACGTCTGGTCCCAAAATCATTTTCTCTAGCGGTAATTTGCTCCTCATTTACCACCGTGTGTGGTATAAGCTATAATGCAGTATGTATTTCTCCCAGGATTTCCCTGGACAAAACTATGTTTGCATGGACATAACCTTCCCAATACTTCCTCTTATAAGAAAGATGGGAATTTTTCCCATCCCACAGAATTTTCAAGAAGTTATTTGATAACAACTAATGTTATAGTAACACTAATGCTAACCTGTGGGGAAGGGAGGAGGGCAGAGAACTTTATTAAATGGGTTATTCCTGTCACACTGCAACATGTTACAGGTGTTACACATATTCAAACTGGAACAGCTTCACCTGTCAGGTCGATGTGTAGCAGGTTTCTCTGGGGTTCTTTAGCACAGAGGATGTGATGCCTTCTAGTGTCTTCTGGTGCACTTTATTCCTTAGCCCTTTTAAAATCTGATTTGTTTCTGTTAATGTTTCTTTTGATTTGTGGGATCTAGAAAGGTTTACACCAATATTTCTAATGAGTGCAGCATCTAAACCACATGTCATAAAAAAGGAAGCAAGCTGAAAGACTCGATCAGTGGAAATATAAAGCTAAATATAAGATTTTTTTGTAAACTACTTTTGTATGACTAATAAAAAACTTCACAGCACAATTATATTTTTATCATGTCACTATTCTTTTGTTTGAAGTGTCTATGAAGTCCATATTGCTGTAATAATGTTTTATTGTTCTGTGCAGCCAGACTATCAGTGGTATGTTCCTGACCAGTTTCCGCCAGATGTGCAGCACAAGGCAAATGGTAAGACAACAGCTGTACAGAGCATATTTAAATGTACTTTTTTTTAAATGGGAGCCTTTGAGGGATGTAGGGTAAACTTTCCTATTTATCTGTTGAGTGCTTACGTGACAGCTTTGCCTCAGAGAGCCGAGGTTGGTGTATGTGCAACACAGGTGAGGTTTCTAATGTAATACCATCTACATTACGGCTTTCAGCTTTGTTGCAATTCGTAAAATGTCTCTATTACACGTTACAGGAGCACACATTTGCCTCATTAAACACCTAGTAATAGTCCTAAAGAAAAGGTATCCTCAGAGTTGTCCTTAGAGCTTCTGTTGCTCCAGCTAAGGCTAAATTTAACGATGTGCCGAACCTGGGGGCCAAGATGGGGCAGATTTTAGAAGTCCTTGGTAACAAAGTACAGGCTTTAGGATGTTGTTTCACCTTAAAGGCAAAATGCCCATTGCTATTCTTGATCTGCTCTGATAGTTCAAGGCGCCAGGTCTGAAAATAAAACCATGTAAATGGACAAAGTTAATTAGTTGCCAAAGTGTCGGTGCAAACTATCTTTTGGAAACCAGGAGGAGTACTTAATATTTGTACCTGGATTTGAAATTGTGCCAAGTTCCTGGGTGTTTCGACGTACTTGTTTCAGACCACTCAAAAGATGGATGCCAGAGAGCACAGGGAAGAATGGACGTTGTTCTGGGTGGGAATCCGCCCCTCCGGATCTTCTCCTTCAGAAACTCCCCTAAACCACCCTTTTTCTCTCAAAAGTGGTTGAGAATTATGGCACCTAAAGTTTTGTGTTTTGCTGTTCTCATGTCTCGTAGCCCTTTTGTAGAGATACCTTCTCAGATGAATGATGCGTCATCCTGGTCTGCAGGGGGACCAGCAAAGTTTGCTGGTGTTTACTGCAGGAGTGTGTGTGCTTCATGTGTCTGCCATTTCACGGTGCGAGTGGGTACCATATGGGGTGGCAGGGGCAGGGACTCATCACCAAAAGCTGTTTTGTAACATCTAGAAGAAGATGATGGCTACAGAGGAGCTATTCCATTATTTATTGTCATCCACATTTGCACAGAAGAGAGGGCAGGGTGGGAACGTAGCTCGCCGAAATGGAGGGTGAGCTTCCCATAATTACATGGCAACTGTTTGGAGGGTTCTGATGTGGTCGTAGGGAAAGTAGTGCTGTGACTGCAGGAGAGGACAGGAGATTAATTTTGTAGTGCCTCCCACTTAAACTCAAAGTGATTTACTGCACCAGAGAATATAGGGAGGATGTTTATAACAGTGAATGAAACAAGTCCGGCCACCAACTGCAGCTGTGGTCCAGGGCAGTACACTTAGGGGATCTGAAGAAAGAGAGTTCTTCTTTTACCCTGTTTGATTATATGACTCAACTTCTGGCTCCCTGAAAAAACTTTTTTTAAATCCATGCTCTGTCTTTCTGTTACTGTTCCTTGTCCAGAATATCCGAATACCTCCTTCTCAATGGGACAGTGAGTAGGACACTTGGAGACTTTTCCCTTCCCTTTTTTCTTCAGTCCCCATAAAGAGGAATTCTCAACGAGTCCCGTCATAGCGCTGTGTAGGATGTCTGCTTTAACATCTTCGGGGCTCTTATTCTTTTTATCTTTGCTGATGAAGATTATTTTATTAGCTGTTGATCACAGAGAAGTCCAACTGCAACTATCAGTTAAAAGGCACTAGCCTGGGTTTATGTATTATATATAGTCACCTATATTAAATCTGCATTTAAGTGTTTTGAGAAAGATTTCAAAGATAGAAACTCCAAGAACACACAATGAAAGTATTCTTGATGTTCCAATTTCTTTGTTCTATTTTGTAAGAGTGCTAATTACAATGGTGGGTTTAAATGAGCTAGTATGTGCAGCAGCATTCCCGAGTCTCATTTCTCATCTTTCATTTCTTCATTAGGCGATAAACTGACCAATAAATTTTACCTCTTCTGAGATAGGGCTTCATTATGGAAAAACAAAACAGCAGTGCAGCAACTTTTAGTCATGAGGCAGTTTCCTTTAGGAAAGCTATTTCAGTAGATTGATGTTTGTAGGGAAAACCCTTAAGTTTTCCTTAACTGAACAAATTTTCCTTTGACACTGGGTATTTTTTCTTAAGGAGTAATTTCAAAATACAGGTCACACATTGTAACTTCAGAGCTGAACACAGGTGAAATGAATTGGGAAACTGATTTTTTTTATGACATACCATCAAAAAAAGCCTGTTTTAAAGATATCTGAAATCTATGAGAGTCTCTACATCAACTCTAACTAGTTTGCTATAATGTCTTTGGGACTGCAAAGGCATATTGTCATCAAGGAGGATTTATTACTTTTTCCTGCAGTTTTGTATAGATGTTCCTAGACTGTGTTTTCCTCCCTCTCTCCCCTCCTTTGTGAGGGAGGAAGTTATTTGCACCCAGGTGCTTTGGCATTAGACTTAGGTCCTTCTGTAACCAGCTGTAATCTCATGTTTTCTGCTTCTCATGTAACCATATCTGTACTTTTGTTCTGACTGGCACCACTTTTCTTAGCTTCTCCCATGTCCAAAGAAGGCTGTCTTAAAGGACTGCTGCCTCTTTGAAGCCTAGTTTCTCTTTCTGTTTTCTGTAAGAAACACCTCTGTGCCTGTATCTGCAGAAATAGGATAATCACTGAAATATTTTTAAAATTTAAAACAGAAATCTGCTACAGAAATTTGATCAGTCCTATTTGATCCTATTTTCCAAAGTTTCTACTCCAGTCTATTATTTTCCCCACAGATCTATGTTTTGGTAGTTGGCAGAGGATCACTTATGCACAAGTCTGAGGAGCGCTGTTGCCTCTAGCACTGCACTTTCATGGTAGTGTGATGGTTTGGATCTGGCACTTTTTGATTTGAGCCTTTTCTAATTAGCCTGGAAATAACTTCATCAGAATACAGGAAGAATGAGAGGAATAAGGGGGCAAAATGAGAGAAAAAAAACCAAACAAAACCACCAACCCTCTCAAAAAACTTTGTTCTTTTTTCCATTAAGCCTTTCTTTCCAAAATGAGACTGAACAAGATATGTTCCACGGTAGCAAGGCAATGGTAATTATCTAAATGAAATCCTTGCAATTTAGCTTTATGAAGAGAGTGAAGCTAAAGGGAGCTGCTAAGATTACAGCTATAAAGTATGGCTTTATGCAAAAACCTTACGTGTCTGTTCAGAGTTTGGAGTAGTGAACACCACTTGTTACTTAATCAGAGCTACATCAGCTCCCTCTTTCCCAAGAAATTTGGCAGTTAAGTGAGGTTCAGCGATGTGCTGAGCAGTCCTCGGTTCCTTGACTAAAACACCTCAGAGCTACCCTACACTTCTTGTTGGTGAAGTAATCTGTGTGTCTCTGTATTTTGCAGCTAGAGTATCTAGGAGCCATTTAAGGATTTAACTCTACTGAAAAGAGCATAAGGAGTTGGTTTTAGTGATCTGCCTTTCTGTTTTACAGCTAAGTATCTATGGACCAGTTAAGAATCTGGATGAAGAGAAGGGTCTTGTAGCCCTTGTGGTACATAAGGCTGAAGTTGCTCTCTAGAGAGAGACAGTTATTCCCAGCATGGCCACAGGCTGGCTGCTGCGGCTTGAGAGACCAGTCCTCAGCCTTGAAATCACATCAGTGTGCCCTTGAACACAGAGTTCAGAGCGTGATGCAACAGCATGCTCGAGTATCTTATCCCTGCCTTGGTTCATGGAGGGCATGGAAATGTGACGGTGGTAGTGTGTGCCTATGAATATGTGGAGGTGACCAAACACAACTAGCAGTCCTGGTATGTGTGTTTGATTACATTTATTTAACATATTTACTTCTCTGTACGCCTAAATAAGTAAAATAAAAACTACTGGCTGGATGTAGACATTCTGGCATCCAGGAAGGGATTCTGTGGATAAGATTTGGCCTTTCTTTATATTTTTGATTCAGTAATCAAGATTTAAATTATTTTCTCAATTATTTTTTTATTTGTCCACAGTTGCCCACAGTTATTGTTGAATTGCCTTCTTTAACTGGAATTTGATGATCCCCCTGGCTGCATAAAGCCACTCAACTTGTTTTCAAAAACATGTCTCTGGCTTTAGGGAGTTTACTTAAAAGTAAACAAAGAACCATTCAGGCCCCTCTGGCTTTGGGACCCTAGAAACAGTTTTAGTAGGCTTCATAGGTTAAAAAACACAGCCTCTCCGTTAGTAAGCACAGAGACAGCTTTGACCTGCCAGGGGTTGCATGGGACAGTGAAGAATTACTAACCATGTAAAATACAATTTTCCAAAAAGGATGGGAAAAAACATTATGTCCTTGATGATGTGTTTAGTGAGTTGATGTATTCCATCAATATGGAATTGCACATTTGCAGTGCAACCGGTACCGAAGGCATGCCCGTGGTTTGGGGTGGCTTTCATGCCAGGCTGCACCGCACGATGCAGTTGCCTGCCATCTGTATGTCTGCACGGCCACAGGAAGGTAAGGGTTTAACCCGGTTCTTCTCCTCCTGCTCTTTCATGCTGCAGTCTCGTCAAGAGTTCAATTTTCCACGCCACCACTGGGATCCGAACTGAATCCAGAAATATTCAATATTCAGGCGGTTTGCAAATAGGAGGGTGCGGGCTGTATTCAGGTTTATTGGTCTGGTTTTACTAGCATTTTCTTCCCATTTGTATCCAGAAAGTTTCATGTTGCACCTCTTGTTAAACTCCTTAAAAACTCAGATAACTCATACCAGAGTTCAGCTTGTCTGTGAACATAAGCATTTCTTCTCCCTATTTTCTCAAACATTAAATACTCCAGCTGAAAGCAGGCAGGGCAGAGAGATGGATAGGAACGTTTTGTGTCCAGCCGTGCTCCGTAGGTGGGCTGCAATGGAGATGAGGCTGCCAGGGAAAGACCACTCAGGTAGACCTCACAGGGCAACCGCCTGTCTGCAAAGCAGGATTAGGGGAAACCGTCAGGCTTCCAAAAAAGCAAAGGTGTTTCCTTGAAGGTCACAATAGAGAAGGGCAATGTGGAAAGGTAAGCGATGGGAGGCAGGTAGAGATTAAGGAAGATGATGAGATGAGATGTTGTCTCGCTGCACCGGCAATGTATTTCCAAGAGAATAACTCTTCCTGCCCACCTCTGGGCTGGTCCCTCCCCAGGTACTTTGCTGTGCAGAAAGCCTGAGCCTAAACTGTGCGTAAATTCTTCTAACTTAGCCTTGTCTGACCAGCAATGCTGCCTTTGGAGGAACATTATCTCCTAAGTCTCTCCGTGCTCTGTCACTCAGTGTTCCTGGAATGAGTTTCCGATCTTTTTGTTCTTGGTTGTGGGTTTTTTTGGTTTTTGTTGTTTGTTTGGGGTTTTTTTCTTTTTAAGGAGCAAGGCAGAAAGATTTCCAGCAAGTGTACTTAATGGCACTTTATTTGGCAAGCAGTGTTGACTTCCTTCCTTATCCAACTGTGCAAAATTGAAAAGACAGTTGAAAAAAAGATTGATTTTGGAGATTTTCCCTGAACCCAGTTTTTTAATGAAAAATTCTCTGGAAAAGAGGTTTATTGCTCAAAGCCTACTCAGAGCAAGAACCCTTTTGCATGCCACAGCTGCTGGCATGTATTGCCTTTTTCACTTCCAAAATTAATCTTACTGTATTTGTTTCCTTGGCAGAAAGATTCTCGGTACATGTATTTAAGAACCCCAGTTACTCCTTCAGAACATCAGCTATAACTACTGGATTTCTTTGACCTAAACTGTACGTTTTTATTTTGGATCCAGTTATGCCAGGCACAGGGAGAAGCCAAAATGTAGCCCTTCAGCTACCTCTCAGTTCACGGGGTAGCTCTGGCGGCTTGTGGGAGAGGCGAGAGCAGCTGGTCACCCCCTCGCCTTGGCATGCCTAGGGAAAGCAGAAATCAACCTGCAAAAAGCCCTAGGGATGCCCAGATGAGCACACGAAGAAGCATGATGTGTCCGCTTACTTTCATTATAACATCATCTCTTGTTCCCTTCCACACTCTGCTGCTTTCCAGATTTTTGCCCTCAAGGTACCTGCTCTGCTGCTAATGTTGTTATAATTACAGCTAACTGGAAGAAGAGGAGGGAGAAGTGTGGGGTTTTCCACTGAAAATAATGACATCTGTAGGGAGGGGGGGAAAAAATGAAAAACTGAAAAATGGATTTGTGGAGGTCTTCAATGAAAACCAGACAGAAAAAAAGTTAATTAACTGACGTCTTAATTTTCCTGGAAAAAATCCCAGACCCTAAACGTTTTTGGTATTAGCTTGTCCTCAGTGCATACATTACATTAGAAATTATCAGTGCTCGCAACTAGTCAAGACAGATTTAATTAGCAGCTTGCCATCCCCACTGGGAATGAAAATGGGATTATTTTCAGAATTTTTACTGATACTACTTGGTTTCTGCTGCTGCAATGTAACAAAAAGGCTGTTAGCACACCTTTAATTTCTAACTCCAGAACATGAGAAGTTGCCTTTTTTAGAAAGGTATTGCTTTTAAAAGTCAGCTTGAGCTAAAGATCACAGAACGTGTTGTAGTTTTTCAGTGTACCAGGCAGAAAAGTCTCATGTGAAGAGGAACAGGATATGTAATTTAAACAGCTGCATGATTTGATACATTGTTTCACAGAAATAAAGTTATCAGGATTTATCATTCAGTACCTGTTAGATTTTTAAATGGCTTCACAGACACTGGCTTTTTTTTTTTTTTCCTTTGAGAATGAAACATAGGGAAGAATCGAGGCTTTTAAGGGAACTTGCCTGAAGGGGGATGTTGATGGTGGTCTTCTGGTGATAGGTGACGTGGTGGCTCTTTTCATTAAACCATTCTCTTTCCTGGTCACTTGATGAAGCATCCATCTGCTATCTGGAAATAGCCTTAGTTCCTCATTGGTCATCTAAGGAAGTGATGTAAAAATTCATTCCGTGCCATTTGCTTGTTAAAGTAGCAGCCAAGGGCTACCTACCCTCGTTGTATGGAGTCCACCTTCCTTTGCCTGTTGTGTTTTAAGTGTACGAGGATTCTGTGCTGGGCTCTGAAGCCTGCTTGTACTGCGAAATATCCAGAAGGTTTTCTGTACGGTTAGTGCCGTCCTAGGTGGGAGAGACTCTTTGGTTTTAGGAACTAACATGTTATATTATGTTTGCCTTTCTTCTCTGGCAGACCACGCCTGCAACGCTGTGGTATCTGCTGGTTTGCACCAGCTGCGCAAGAACTTTAGGAGCCAAAAGCATCTTGGCATAAGCAGGGTGACCTCAGTGTGTCCCAGTGGGACTCGGGACTGGGAAGGAACAAAAATAATTGAAGGACATCCCCACTGTACAGCTGCCTGAGGTGTTTGAATATCCAAGTCCTCTCTTTTTTCTTCCAGATTATATTGTTATATGAATATCAACATTTGATGCGAAGCTTGGAAGCACATTTCTTGTTAGCAAAGTTTTTTTCCACCGCCTTTGTTGTTACAGGGGGCTATTTGCATGAAGTGAAATGAACACAGAAATATCTATATTTATCTACCTTGCACAAAGAACCAGTCTGCTAGTTGTTGCTCTTCCTGGCTTTTGTGAACAAATAACATGAATTTTAGCTCTGATACTACCTGCAAGGAAAAGGTGTCACCAAAATCAGTGATTCACGGTACTGCTGCTTGCTATAAACGTGGACCTTTTGGATCAAGTTTTCTTTCATATACATTTGGATATCATCAGCACTGTGGGTTTGGAAGTGAATGATGGGGTTACTTTGTAGCAGCTGCAGAGCAATTCTCCTAGGCAAATTCAAAACCCTGCTGGAAATATTTCACTCTTAATGTTTCTCTTGTAAGCGAAATACTATGTGCACTTGTGTGTGTGCTACTAGCGATGTGTTACAGCATTTCCAGAGTCTTTTGAAACTTCAGGAAGGAAGTATGTGTTACACTGGCAATAGCGTATTTCCTTTCTTAGGTTTTATTTTGTTTTCCTAGCTCGAGTGAGTTACTATCAAACACATCTTTGAACCACAGACACCTACTTAGCAGTAGGTACTACTACCTAATTCTTCCCTCTGTCATATTTACCTACTCTCTTGGGTGCACCTAAAGCTAATGTATACCCGTGAACACTGCTGAATGTCAGCTGTTCTTTTTAGAGGTCTAGAAAGATTTTACGCGGTGGCTTTAGGTTACTAGACCCTACTGTTTGCTCTGTATCAACAATCAGGACTAGATGAAAGTCGAGAGAGAGAGACTGCTAGGGCACTGTATGACATCCCTACCTTCTTTTGCTTCTTCACACTTACTGTCATTTGTGTTGGATTGATTACAGGCTTGTAATGATGTACAGTATTGGCTCCAGGGGTGTGTGTATGTCTTACAAAACAGAGGGAAATTAATCATAAGCGAGTTGTATTTCTCAATGTCAAAATAACTTGTATTGATATACTTTTGCAGATTCATCCTCGGAGAAGGGAGCCCATCGCTGACAGCCTATGACCTGGAGAAGTGTAGACCAAAGGCGGCAAGCTAGTCTTGCAACTTCGTTATTCTGTTTTGTTCTGGTTTTTTTGCCCCTAGCTCCTTATCTCTTCAGTGCATGTTATTTATGCCTGGTGAAATCCCTGCGAGGACAATAGAAAAGCAGATCATACAGGCTAGTGACTCTCAGGATCCAGTTAAACTGTGCTGGGAAGCATTATTGCCCTTTGTTCTGAAGATGCTGTTTGTGCTGCCTATGAGAATCTGTTAAAAAGCCGTACGAGAAAAGATGCAGCTATTGCTGGGGATTCAGACAGTCACATCTGGTTTGAATTCAAGAGCTTAAAAGCCCAATAGTGTTGTGATTTTTTTTTTTTTTTGTTTGAGAATTATAGTCTTTTTTTATTTGATTCCAGGGAATGATTTGTTGATATACCATCTTGAATTCTGTACTCTTTTTCTTGATTGTTTGGTAAAGCGGAAATCTGCTTCACTGTTCTAAGACGTGTAATTGTAAGCAGGGTACCGCTGATACCAGGGCAGGTAGAAGGTGCCTACTCCCCTTTTTGAGTCAAGGCCAGCTCTCCTTTTGTTTTGGCTCCGAAATGATATGAAAAATGTAATCACATTTTTTTTCTGTGTGTACTTATTTGTATCAGAAGTATTTTAGTAGAAATACTTAATGGGTTTAACTTCTCAGTAAAAATGGCTTTATATTTCCAAACGATTCTTGTAATTAATCTGAACGTCATTGTGTAACCTCTACCTTGAGAATAAAACCTGGCTTTTTAAATGAAATTGTATTTAGACCATGAAATTTTTTCAGAAAATTGTGGTGAGTGGATGTTCAGCAAACATTACCTGATAATCTACTTGCAAGATTGTCGCTTCCCTTCAGGCAGGTACCTGCACCTGCTGGGATCCCACCTGAAAGAAGGAACTGAGATTTTTGCACCATAAGGCCGCATGAGATGTCCTGTGTGCTTTCCTCATAGCTCAGAAGTAGTTAATATGAGTTTAAGTTCCCACACAAACAGCTTTTTGAGCTGTACAAGGACAGAATCATCAGTTAGAGATCGCCTGCGTGTGTCACTTCTGCTTTTAGAACAGGTATTTGCATTCCTATCAATATGCAAAGGCCTGTGTACTAAAATAATGACATTATAGGATTAAACATGTTCAGCATTTGATTTTGGGACACAATGGGGAACAGTCCATGGGAAAGGATTTTTCTGCTGTTACATTTTACAGCGATGCTGCTTTTGCCTACACTGATCAAAGAAACGACACTCCTAACTTATAATACGGACTCAGGAAGAACATGAGCAAAGCACCGAGCGAACCGGCCTCTGGAAAGAAATTGCTTTTTCATGAACTATTGAAAATTAGAGTTTGACTGCAACATTAGCTACAGAATAAATTCCCGAGTCTCTGGTAGAGAGAGAGGAGTTTTTATCTCTGCATGAATTTGGAACTGGCTTACAGACACTATAGCAGCAGATAGTTTAACCAGCAAACAATATAACCGCGCTACTCCTGATTAGTGATTTGGCTAATAAGGGTGAGATCATGGAAAATGCTAATGCAGTGCCTTCGGAAAATCCAATTATAATGTAACCTAATTCAATGTGAGCTCTCAGCAGGTGACCAGAGCTGTGGGCAGAGCACCCCGCACTCAAAGATGTCGTGAATCCTCAAAACAGACGAGCTTCTGTGTGGTTGGTGTGGGAGGCAACAAACCCCCGCTTCATTCATTTCCACTGTTTTCCCCAACTAACTGCGAAGGCTTGCGCCTTCTATTTGTGGCGCTTAACTCATTATCTGACAGCTTGTGCAAGAACTATCTGGCCCAAGCGGATGATTCAACGCGAGCCATTCACAGTAAGAAAATAGAGTTTGCTGGGCTATCTTCCCCCCACTCTGTTTAGTCACAGGCTTTTAACGTTTGGCTGGCTTGGGCACAAGACTGGAAACCTTGACTCTCACAGATCCTAAGCGTGCTAAGTGTGGGGTATTCCTTGTATTACATGATAGAAAATTTGTATCTTTTAAAATGCATATAAAATGCCTGTACAGTTGATTTTCCTCTTGATTTTCTTGTAATGATGTATGTTTCCCAAATGCAGGTGCTGTCATCTATTTGAATTAGCATTGTCAGACTCAAACACCCCCAAAGGATACGCTTTCTGCAGTGACCCAGACAAGTTTGAGGGGGGTGAGTTATTTTATCTAAAATCACCCATAGTACTCATAACAGGCATTTTTCCTTTCTCGAGCTTTGCTGAAACTGGGTATTGGCACTCCCAGTTTTCCTCTGGCCTTTTAAAGAACCTTCTGGCATTTCCCGATCTCTATTACATACTTTATTTCCAAACACTTGCCAAATTTTCCATCTGATTCTTCCTATTCAGCTTTCTTCGATATTTTTGTGTATCAGTGGTGAGTGGACCAATTTCACAGTAAGGGCTGTAAATGTGTTTGTGAAAGGCCTTTTCTTTTTTCTTTCCTTTTCTTGTAGGAACTGCTCAGGGTTTGGGAATATTGGAATTACTACGCGCATTGCAAGAGGAGCAATTCATATACAGAGAGTAACTTTCTTTTCATACCGGACCAGGCACTTACTTGAATACCTGAAGCTGTAGCAGCAGTGATGAGCTACACCCGTGGTTTGTGGCCCCCAATTTCCTCTCTCACGGTGGCTTGGGGACAAGCACAAAGTGATTTTCTGTCAAAACTTTTCAGCAGTTTAAGGGGATGTGTTTTCACTCATCCAGCAGAAAGACCAATGTGACCTGGCCATGTTTGTCCTGCATCGGTGCTGGCCAGTCTGCCCACCAGGTGAGGTGTATCAGGAGCGCTTGACTCGTATCCCGGTGTGACCGACTCAACTGCCGTATTAAAAATGCTTACAAGGTGATGAACGTTCAGGTATACAATAAGGAACTGACCCATAATGAAGCTGATTACTCAGCCTGTTAAAATGATGGGGGAGGTCCAGGCGTTGGTCATGATCAGCCCTTGGAAAGCCTTGTTATTTCTGGTGGGAGCGTGCGTGTTGACGCGTGTTTGTATGGATTCTGAACGATGAGTTATGACAACTAATAGACACACAAAAATGTGTGGGGGGGAACATCTTATGTATGTTTTGGCATGGGTTTCTGTAGACTTTTCTTCTAAACTGAACTTTTTCCATTTGGTTGCAGTGTTATATACTAAACATGTTATGGAGAAATTTTCATTACTATGAATGAGAGCAAGTCTTCCTATGTCAAGTTAAATTAGCTGCTTACAATATAATCTTACATTATTTTCAACATGATATGCTGAATTCACTAAATGATGTTTTGATTACCATAACAGTAATTACCCAACATTAAAATAGGAGCACGTTAACTCATGGAATCGTTAACACAAATGAGGTACTTAAAAGCTTGGGGCCTTTGGGGAATTTTTGTCCCAGCCTTTATTTTTTTCTCTTTTATTTTTTTTTTTCCCCCCTCCTTGTGGAGCTGGCAGATGTGACACCAGCATTTTGCTGACTTGAAGTTTTTTGTTTTGATTCACCACTATTTTACTTCCCAGGTGATTTAAGCTCTGTGTCTTGTCAAAAATGTATGTTGTTTTAAAATTGTCTTTTTCTTCTAAAGGCCTGAAGTGCTATTGGTGACAGTCATGCCAATGCTTATTCCGTTCTATTTCTATAGGTATTTCTTTCTACTCTTATACGTAGATAATGTGTGGCGTGATATGAAGATTTCATTGGTGCTAAGTAAGTTGTCTGTCTTTATAAATCACTGAATAGCATCCCTCCTTAGTTTCAGGCTGTCATTTGTTTTAGGAAGGAAAAATTGTTACTTTGAAATTGCTGGTAAAAGCTGGGAGCTGTTTTAATTGCCTCAGAAACTCTGGATACCAGGGGAAGTGGATTCATGATAATGCTGCAGGCAAAGCACATGGGGTGCCCCAAATACACACCTATGCTATCCTATAATAGGAAAGCTGGATATCACAGCTGAGGATGATTTGATACATTACAAGCAAAATCCTGGACCACATTACTTTCCTTCTTGAATCCATTCACTATTTTTTTATCTTTTACTGCATCAATATTAGATTTCTTGTCCAAATAATAAACCTTTATCTCTCATTCATCTCCCACATAACATTTCACTCTCTTGGGCTCTCCCAATTTCTTATCTTTCCTCTTGCCTTCCAGAGCACGGCTTTTGCATCCTATATAAGATGATGTTGCTATGGCAGAGTCTTCAGCTTCTGCCTGTCAGAAACACTTCTGTCTTCCTTCAGATCCCTCCTGTAACCCCACTTCCCAACTTCTTCTCTGTATGACTGATTTCTAAACCTTCTTTACTTGCAATGGTCTTTCAAATTCTGGCGTATCATTCTTGTTTGTCTTTTGATAATATCTAGGAGAAGGTCAGGGCTTTGTTTTCTAGATCCACGGGCAAGGAACGCCATTCTACAATCCCGTAAGAGGGATTAATGTGTTATCCGCTGCAATGCAAAGTGTTACGTTGTTATATGTAGTCTCATGAATTATAGTAAGAACACATGGTCACCGAAAATATTTTCTTCTGAGATGAAATGTATTATATAAATAGTAGAACTAGAAATGCGTGGTGAATGCTGCGGATGAAAGAATGCACTGTACCCTTTGGCTCTGGTTCCCCGCACCCAAAGACTTGCACTTCATTAGCTTCACGTCATACTCCCAAGCTCCTACCAGTCATTGCTCTGTCAGCATTTCACTTTCCATGACAACATGTTTTGGGGGAATTAGGATTATGAGATGCCCAAAATTTCCGGTCTTCAGCCCCCTCTCCCTTTCTGTAGTCTAGAATACAATGAGAAAAAGCTGGTGTTGTATGACGATACCTTTTGGTGAAGCAAAGCTCAGCTGCTCCAGCTCCCCCTCTTCTTCCCCCTATAATAGACTGGGAATGCAGCCCCTACCCTAATGAGCTGGAAATTCTGCCCCCATACCACCCTG